TGCACTGGTGAATCCAGAGCTTCTAGAAAGTCCTTGATAAATCCAAGATTCATGAACTGTGATTTTACATAATCTCTGTTTTTGTATTTTAAATATCTCAAACTGTCTGTACGTAGGAGATGCTGCTGCTAAGGAATAAACACATCCCCCATATCACTTTACAGCAGAACTGCAGTAGGAATGAATATGCTCTAAAAGGCTTTGATTGGGAAGAAAGCAACAACCATAATTTTTGCCTCTTGCAAAATATGTTAATGAACCTGAAGTCCCTAGGCCCCTGATGTTATTATAAAGCTCTCAAATCAAGCTGCTTTACAAGTCACGCACCAATCTGATGTTGTTTGAAGCTTGTGCACAAAACAAGATGAGAACTAAAAAATTGTTGGACCGTGAGCACCTGTTGACTTCAGGGTTGGTTTAAGTCCGTGGGATCTGAGAGTGAGAGGAGCATCTGGCAGCTTTTCTGCTTCATTCAAGCATCAGCTACAGTATTGTTTCAACACACTTCCTCGGCTGGGGCTGATGAAGCCGTTTGAGCACTCATCTGGCTGGTGCAACAGTGACAGCATCTATAGAGGGCCACCAAGGCAAACTATTGCCCAGTGCATCACACAGCTAATCCCCTCCAGGCAGAGTAGGGGCTGACAGGGACACAGCTGGGGCTAACAAGGCACATGGCCTCGCTGTTCTTCCCCAGAGTGACATCTCCCTCCGACAGCTGACCATCCCTCTGGCCGAGCCCAGTCATGCAGGTTTTGTGCCCCAGGCAGGATTATCACCTTCTCTTTGAGACTGCCAGTCACCAGGTGGGAAAGGCAGCATGTCAAGTGGAGATGGGAGATAAAAGCTTTATTTTTCTAGCCCTGGTAATCATCACTAAACACAAAAAAATTGGTCCCATCACTTTGCATCACTTTTGCTCTGCAAAACCCTTTGACATCCACAAATCCCTGCAGGTTAATAAAAGAAATCATGGGATTACTTATGAGTTCAGCTCAAGCCTACGCTCAAAGAGTTACAGTTTCAAGGGAGTGAAGAAATACAGTGTAACCTCATAAGACACACGTTGTGATTTTAAACAAACATGAATGTCGTTGAGTGTATCAGAGTGGAAAAAGGGGTCTGGGGTGGTCCCTTATTCAACTTATATCCAGAATATGTCATAGATACAAATGAATACAGAAAGAAGACAAAACAAGACAAAAAGACTGTTATCTAAAAAATCCAAGATAGTTGAGAATGGATTTTTGTGGCATGCATTTTGTGGCAGCATTTCTGGCATATTGAACTTACTCCAACACAAGCACAAAGAGAAGGCCAGGTAAAGCAAAGCATGGCAAGCACCAGTTTCATTGTAAGGGCTGTAGGGAGTGTCATGCCTCACGTAGGAGGCTGCTGTAAAGAGAAAAGGGGCATGTGTTATGACTAAAACACCAGTTTCTGCTGGCATGTTTATTTAATTAAAACAGCCTAAATTAAAGTTTGGCTGAGACAAAGCAAGAACATGTTTAATTGCTAAAATTTGGGCCCTCTTCCTCAAGATCCCTCATCCTTTAGAGGGCTCTATACGACGAAGACCTTCTTTTCAAGTTTCCCAAGGATTTGCATATTGCATGACACTTCTCCATGTGCTGGACACTTCAAAGTAATCTTGAAAAGCAATCACTTGTGTGGGCAGTATTTTGCTCCTAAGAGGACTGACTAGCAATAACTAAAACTTTACCTACCACACTAGCAGTTATCAATGACCTCCTGCCTCTACAGAGTGAGGCACCACAACAAAATTTCTCTCTTCAACATCAGCAGATAAGTGATACCTTTTAAATCCTGCTATAGTATTATAGTCTTCCCCCATAGGTAGCAGAAATAAAGTTACACAAAAAATACTTGAAACTGAAATCACTGATGAAATTTGAAAGAGGTAGTAGAAGAGAGACTTCTCAATGTAAACACTTCTCCTCAGTCACTTTACCTACAAATTTAGCTTTATAGCTAGTTAGCAATTGCTGGAAACAAAGTGTCATCTGGAATAATGACAGTCCTGGAAATACATAAGATGGAAAATTGATATCAGGTTGAAATCTGGCTCATGGTATATGAAGTCCGAGAGGTTTGCAGCAACAAGAGTTTGCTCTGCAAAGGCTTCCGTGGAGTATCCTGGGAGATTTTCTAGGACTTAGTGAGTAGAAATAAAAACAAATGATTGTGTTCGCTTTGTTTTTTTTTCATTCTGGGAACCCTTTATTCTCCAGTAATCTTTAGCACTAGGTCTATGTGTGTGTATATATATATAAATTTTTCTACAACCTGTGTTACACATAAAAGATATAGGAAAGACCTTATCATGCGAAAATTAAATTTCCCTGAACAGACTTTATTCTGTGCACTTACTACTGCACTCTAGCTGCAGGGAGGGATAAGGAGGAGTGAAAGCTACAAAATTTGGCATATGGCCATGCTCAGAAAATTAACAGTTTCTTATGGGATTTATCTAATCATTTGTCTATTTACATAGACAGCATCTCGGTTATCCCTTAGCCCCCTCTGGAGAAACTGCAGCTCACTCCAATGTGAAAAACACACGGAACAAACTCACAGGTAAACAACTCAGGCAGTGCTGTGGTTTTAATTTGCAAAAGTTTTTTATAGGTTTTCCTAGGAAAGGAAAATGAGGTTTGAGAATTCTCCTGATAATTTTTACACCTCTCCAACCATTTTGAGAGAAGCAAAACTACTAAGACCTCCTGCACCCAAGGGGCCAAGGAGAGCAGACAGTGTACTGATTTCCCTCAGAAGAGGCAATAGTCTGAGCTCATAGCTTTCCAGGTACTGCCCACTGGAAGAAAGCAGTCTGTATTATCCTACTGGTCTCAGAAAAAATTGTAGCCTGAAAAAGCCATAGCCCAAATCAAAAAAGGGTTGGGAAACAGTTGCTATAGATGGTGAAGACATCAAGGTGAACGACCTGAAGACACTGTTGCACAGGGTGAAAAACTTGGAATGACACAGAATAAAGTTCTTTACCTAGGATTTGCCAATGTCAACCAGGTCTCATGATCACAGAGTCCCCCAGGTAGGACACTTTAACAGTGCTCAGGCCTAGAGAATTCACAAAGACTCTTTTTTCAGTTTCCTGTAGTTAAAAATCACTTTCAGTATAAAGCAAGAAGGCTTAACACATACTTTGTAATGTGTTAAAGTTTTACACTTTTGCAAATCCCATAATTCAAAGAGATGTTCCCGGACTCCATGACTTCTAATGGCAGTGCAATTCCAGTTTCATTACATCTCCTCTTACTTCTGGGCTGTCAAGCAAAACAGAAGCTTATGATAAAGGTTCTCTGTGCTGCTCATCTTTTTATAGACTATTACATTTCTCTACCACACTCCACAGTTTCTCATCCAATGATTGCTATAAAAGCTTTGCTATGAGCCAAAAATTTTTATTGCTCTAGTTCTCTACTATCCTTTTCTAGAAGACCAGCAGTGCCCACAGTATTTCAGGTACACTCACTGACCTGTGTAACAGCTACAGATCTATAAAACATTATCAGATTTTCTTAATTATTCTCTCTTCAGTTCCCACTGAAATCTAACATAATTTTTGCCTGCAGGTTCTCATTGCTCCTTTTTTCATGACGCTCATGAGTTAATGCAACACACTTAAACAGAAAAATGCATACTCAGTCCTTCTTCCTTCCAAGTGCATCAGATTTTGAACATTAAGATTTATTTCCCATCCTCTGTCTTCATTTTTTCATTCCACAGAAGTTAAGTTTATGATTAAGTTCTGTCTGGTCTTTGCTGAGCTTGACTTAGGCTAGAAAAACTTAATGTCATCTGAAGATTTTGCTGTATCATTGCTCGTTCCTTTTTCCAGTTCACTAAGCAGCACCAGACCCAGCAAAAAACCTTGCAGCACCCCTGCTGTTACCCTTTTGCTATGCTGAACATCATTTCTTGTCCCTTAGCCAAAACCCCTTAACAAGCCTAGTTTGTCTCTTTACCACTCTTCTCTCCCAAGGTTATACACCAAACTCCAGTCCTTCAAGTAAAACTCATGTGGATTTTCACGGTTATTTTGCTTGACAACAGGGTGTTTCCAAAATCAGGGAACAAAGATTGTTCTCACCAGAGGCAGTCAAATGGTACAGTGGCTGTGGTTACGTGATTATCTCAGTTTATCTTATTTATAGATCTTTATGGATGTAGCTTCTTTGCTGTGCCAAAAGATCAGATTATAAATACAGTCCCACTAAAGGTTCCCACAGGTCAATCCAGCTCAGAGCATGCCTGAATTGAACTTTTCTGTTTCTCCAAGCATGGATGCATACAGATGTATTTTTCTACCTGTACGAGGATGCAGTGACACTTTTTTATTGCTGCTCTTGTAATTCTATTAGTACTTCACAGCGAATGGGTTCACTTTCCAGTGATAAAGTAACACAATAAACAAAGCGCACAATGCTGTCATCCTTTCCACATCAAGTGAGAGAACTGGTTGTTTTGGTTTTTCTTAAAGGGTCATACTGAGGAAAACAGTTCCTGGAAAGCAAAGTCCTGCTAACCAGTAGAGTGTTTGCGGTGCTTTAGAAACAGCCAGGGTTTGCTGAGCTACCACCACGTCAACCAAACGTAACATTACCATGGTACATGTTGCACCGGACTGACGTTCATCCAGTCCCCACAAATCGGGCTATGCGGGGAGCCGCGATCATACGTTTAAGTCTCTTATTTGCCCTTAAGCTGTGCCGCGGTCCCGCTTCGCGGGGGGAGGGGGAGGTGAGGAGCCCAGCTGGCTCTCCCTGCCCCTGTCTCTCTCCCGCGGGTGAAATTAGGCATTTGGCCTGGCGGGGGCGGAGGGTCCCACAGAAGGTGACTCCAGGAAGCGTTAATCCACCTGCTACCCCCAGCGCGGTCCCTGCATTACCGGGCAGGAGGGGGTCGCGCCTCTACCGCCCCCTTCCCTTCCCCACCGCGGGTCCGCGGGCGATGCTCACCTTGAGGTACTCGTTCTCCGAGCGCAGCTCCTCCACCTCCCGCTGCAGCTCCTCCGGGCCCGCCGGCGGCGGCTCCGCGCGGCTGGGGGTTCGCCCCCCGCCCAGGGCCGCAGGTAGCGCATCTCCACGGGAGCCAGAGGCCGGAGGAGCTCCGCGCCCGGGGCCGGGGCCGGCGCGGGATGGCTCGGCGGCGGGATGCGCGGCGGGATGAGCGGCGGGATGCGCGGCGGGCGGCTCCCGCTCGCGGTCGCTGGAGCCGGTGCCGGACTCGGCGTCGCTGCTGGCGGCCGGGGCCAGGCGCTGCTCGTCGGAGAGGGGCTCGGAGGGGCAGTCGGAGAGGTCGGAGCTGCTGTCCGTGTGGCCGACGCGGGCCAGCGCCGCTGCCACCGCATGGCCGCTGCCCGCCGCGGCGCCCCGCTTCGCCTTCCTGCCCTTACCGGGCGGCGGGGCCGCCTCGCCGCCGGGCTGCCGCCCCGCGCCTCGGCCGCCGGGGCCCGGCTCCGGACCGCGGGCCGCCCGCTTGGCGCAGGGGGCGGCCTTGGCGCCCGCCCTGCCGACGGCGGTGCCGGCGGCGGCCGCCTTGCTCCCCGGGGCGGTGGGGCGGCGGGAGAGGCGGCCCGGCGCTGCCAGCAGCCCCGCGGCCGGAGGGTGGGCGCCCGGGTGCGGCGAAGGGGGCGCCCGGGCCGGGAGGCCGGGGGACTTGGGGGGCGCGGGCGGCGGCTTGGCGGCGGCGCGGGCGTGCAGGTCCTTGAGGAAGGGTCTGGCGGGCGACGGGGCGCGGTGCGGCCGCTTCTTCTCGGCGTGCGGGTGGTGGTGGCCGGGAGAAGGCGGCGGTGGCCGCAGCGCGTCGCCGGGCCCTGGTCCAGGGCCATTCAGCGCCTCCATGTCGCGGGCCGGGGGCGGCGGGGCGGCAGCGGCGGCCGCGGGGGCGCCCGGCGGCGGCAGGAGCGGCGGTCCCTGCGGGGCACAGCGGCAGGACGGGCAGCCTCCTCCAGCCTCCCCGCTCGCTCTCTCATCACTTCTGTTTCTCCCAGCCACAGCCCTCACACTTTTCTTTCTCGATCTCCCTCTTCCTGCCCCCCCACCCCCACCACCTCCTCCTCCTCCTTCTTCTCCTCCTCCTTTTCGCCGCTCGCTCCCGAGCACTGATTTGTTTCAATAAATCTAGCCCCAATCCCCCGGTGGCAGCCGTCTCCTCCTCCCTCTCCTTCCCCTCCCGCTCCCCTCTCTGCCCGGCTCAGCTTGATGCTGCTCAAGTTGTGATGCAGCCCAAAAAATAGATCCTCTTCCCTTCGATCCGAGGCAAAGGCGTGTTTTCCCGGCTGCCTCCGCCTCCACTTGCAAGCCCCCCGCTCAGCCCACCGGCGCCGCTAACCCCATCGCTGCCCCCAGCCCTGGCTCCAGCTCCAGCCACCGCCTCCGCCCGGCTCCTGAAATAGCCCCGCGGCTGCCGGGGCCGCTCCGGCGCGGCTCTGCCCGCCTGTGCGCAGGATCCGCCCCCTCTGTCAGCCAGCCAGGCTGCTCTCCTCCCGCCCGGCAAACTACTTTCCTCGCACGCTTTATTATAGGGGCGCCTCTGCCCGCCGTTTCCTATCAGAGAGCCTCATTTGGGGAGAAATTTTAATTTCCCAGCCATGAACTGCATAGTGTTGCCCGTTTATTATTTCTTTTCCCCGAGCTAAGACTTCATGAAAACGCTCTCTCCAGGGACTGGCAGCAACAAAACAACACCCACTGCATTATCTCTCTACTCAAGGCAGACACAGGTTCACCGAGAGGCAGAGCTGTGTATCCGACGGAATCAGCAAGTTCCTGGCTGTGGCTAAACTACAAAAGGCGTGGACCTGTCCTTTTGGAGCAGGGGGACATGAAATTACAGCCCTTACATTTGCAAAGCACCTGGAGAGTAAATGAAAGGGAGGAGAGGCTCAGGCGTGGGAAAGAGGCACAGCCTAATGGGGAGAGCAGAGCAGCTCTAGTCGGGATGTTTCCGATTCCTCCGCTCGGGCACAGCGGGACTTTGGAGAAGCCGCGGTGGCTGCCTTATCTGTCAGACGAAGGCGGTGAACGCGTGCTTAGCTCCTGAAGTCCTTGGGAGGCTCAGATCACGCACGTCTGAATGGTAGAGACTGCAGCGTGCCCTGGGGAGGACAGTCCCGGGCATTTTGGGAGGGCAGCAACCTGAAGCGCTCTGTCCCCCGCTCCGCTTAGCTAGGATCAAGGCATTTCGCCGAAAGGCAAAAGCCCCAGGAGCTTCTGGAGCCTGAGGGCACCGCGCACCACGGGGCGGGTGGCCAGGGCGAGACCACGCGGCTGGCGCTGGCAGTGCCAGTCCGGGGCCGGTGCCAGGCCACGTTGCCCGGGGAAGGGACGGGACCGCTCGGATATCCCTGGCCTCGTCTCCCAGTAAACGATTCCTACTGAATAGGCAGCACCGGCGCTGCCGCATGAGTATGCAACAGGTAGTCCTTACTTTGTAAAGGCTGCAGAGGGGAAAAAAATAACATTCAAATCAGAGCTGTATTTACAGGTCTTCAGGAAGTGGGAGCAGCTCGACGGCACCGCCCCGGGCAGCCGGCGTGTGCAGCGCCAGTCGGGAGAGCGCCCTGATGAGCGGCCTGCCGGGGGGGCGGGAGTCCAGGGCGGCTCCAGCCCCCGGCAGAAAGCTGGGGCTTAGGGCGGCAGCAGAGAGGGGGCGGTGGCCAGAGTCCCTCCCTGCCCCCGGCGGAGGGACAGATCTCCTCGGCAGGGCGGTGTGGTCCTTCCGCGAGTGGGCAGGCGATGAAAGCCCTGCTCCGGGGCAGCCGGCGGGCGATGTGATGCTGTTGTTGGGTTGGTTTTTTTTATCTATTGACAAATTCAGCTTCTGTTAGTGCTCACATTTTCCACCCGTTGGCACTGCTGCCGGACAGTTCGGTCCCCGCATCCAGATGTGCCTTCCAGGTCACACGGCAAAGTACCTTTTGTGGTAAAGATTGCACTTGCTGCCGCCGATAGGTACATCTACTAGAGCTACCGGGAGGACTTAGTTGGGCCAAGCCCTTTAAAAATTATAGAAAATACTCTGAGGAGAGGAAAACACAACAAACACGCTGACAGATGTAAGCCCCCTCATTCTCTCTCCGTGGGCAGCATTAGTAATTTACTTGATTGGGTGAGATAACCAGAAGCAATGTGAAGTGGCTGAGTTGGTTTAGAAGAATGGCTTATGAAATATATACTACTGTTACATTTTAATGATATGGCATTTGTGTCAGGCCATCACACATTATCAGTGTTTCCTACCAAGCTGTGGTGCTCCTAGTCGGTTTGCTCTGGGTTTGTTGGTTTTGGTTTTGTTTGTTTGTTTGTTGTTGTTGGGGGTTTTTTAGTTTTGTTTTTTGGTTTTGTTTTTTTAGTGGGTTTTTTGTTTGTTTTTGTTTTTGTTTTGTTTTGTTTTGTTTGGCAATACACTGCTGGTCAGTTCAAGTAATTCTCCTTCACAAGAATGCTAGAGAGTGAAAGAGATGACAAGTACTGTATTTCATAGTGAGAAATAGTAATTATTATGGAAACACTATTATGGATGTTGTCCTACATGAGAGATGTCAGAAAGGTTGTTCTGTGCTACTATATCCACATTCTCACTTAGTTTTGGCTATAAATTCCAAGAATATATGGGAATTCCAGCTTCACCTACTAGATTTTCAATGTGTTTATGTCTGTGATGAAAGGGGAACCGCTCTGTGATAATTTATGAGTACCCTGTTTTGACTTTGCCCCATGAACAGAACGGTTCAATTCAAAAGGAAAATGAAAGGAAAAGTATGGCTCAAGATAAGCCACTTTTCTACAAACAATAGCTGAGGGACAGTGCCAGGCTTCTTTGCACTGGAGGGAAAAAGAATTAGGAAAGTGAAAAAAGGAGCACATTCACAAAAGGCTGGGAATTGTCTGGGAGAATTAATCTGAGACACTTGAGCGCCTGATGGAGCCCAGTTTCCTGTGGTTGCCTTGTAAATTTTACTTTACAAATACATGAATGAATATATTTTAAAAAAAAAATCTTATTTATCTTTTTTCCCCACTAAATACTTTGTTTCAACTGCTAAATGCTTTATGTTTAAGATGTCTTGTTATATCACTGTGCATCACTGACCAAAACCTCCTGCAGGCAAAGAGGACTAAAACTCATCCTGACTTCTGAGGAGGTGCCCTTGATAAATAGAGACTCAGAATAATTAAAGGGCCATGACATGGCAGGGTGACCTCAGATCAGAAAGGAGACTGGAGAGTAGATACCTCTCTAAACATGTACCTTTGTGTTCTGTTCATCTTCCTCTCGTTGAAACATACAGTAATGTTTGCTGTCCCAGGCAGCTCCAGTTCAACTATCCATCTTAATAAAGTGATTTATTTACATTAATGCTCAAACAAAATTGGGCTGTGGCACTGAAAACATGCTGCAGCAGAACATGTTAGATGAAGGCAAATGTGCAGTCACACCAAGATCCCTTTACATTGTGTTGGCAGTACAAAGCATCTAATAACAAAGAAATGCAGCCCCTGTAACCCTCCCTGGGCACGTGCATGGCTGGGTGCAGATGGCAGATTTGTGTGGTATGAGGCCAGCTGTAGTATTTTGGCTGTGTTCCTCTGTCCTCTGCTGTCTGAGCAATGCCATTTGGAGATCCTTACAAGAACGGTGTAAATAGGCATGGCGTGAATGAGAATAAGACCCTCATATGAAAGCTAAGTACATACCACAGAAATCTCCATTGGGTTAGGAAAATGCCCACTAAGGATTACTGTTATCATATTACTTATTTATTTATATCAAACCATTTTTTCCTTTACTTAAAACTTGCTAATGATTCTCATAGGAACATGCAGTCACAGACTATCATGACCACCCTAATTCTCCTCTCTCTTTCTTTTTATTTGCTTGTAATGTCCAATTGTTTTCTCTTATCGTAAGTTAGTCATACACTCCCTCGTGGTGGAACAGTTTCTTATATGCTTGTGTAGCTCTTAACATAATAGGACGTCTGGGTGTTGGTTGAATAATACAAATAATCAGACATAACACTTTTACGACACATTTATTTTGGCAATGCTGATATCCTTTGTCTGATTAATGCTGACATTTGATAACTGAGTTGTATTTGCACAAATAATTATGAAAAGTAAATGCTAAGCCCGACTACTTAGGTTAGCTATCGTACATCTTACAAAGCATAAGACACCGTTTTTGGCAGTGCAGGACTGTTTAAATTCTTTTCTAGGGCTGAGGCACGAGAGAGTTTACAATTGCTTAGAGAAGATGTGAAGAGGCTCAATCTAAATGCAAATCTGTGCCTCAGCCAGCCCAGTTTACAGTAGCCTAAGCTGTTATTTTCTCCTATTTCAAATCCCTATTTGAGATTTTCTTCAATGACACCATAAAAGCAACCAACTTATAATGGCCAGGCTCGGAGTTATAAGGGAGCACTGATGTTTACAGAGCTAAATCAAAACAGTAAATGAAGACACAAATGCATCCATGCAGGCCATATGTACGGATAAACCAGCATCAATCGGGTTGAGTCTATCATTATTGCCCCTTTATATGTTGCAGATCATGAGCTGTAATTTCTTTGTGGCCACATTGTGCTCTGTGATTACACCATCCCAGAGGAATCCTAATCAGGGCCAGCAGGTGTTACAGTGACACGTTAACAACAGCAACGAGGCATAGCTTCAACAGAAAAAATGTGTGACATCTTCAAGCTCACAAATCCCTTTTTTTTTATTGCAATCTCTGTGTCAACTGCTATCTCTCCCTGGGGAATTCAAAGCCCCAAAGACCTTTTTTAAAGCTTTATTCCTGGTCCCAGGAGTTATATCTAGATTGTCACTGCTTGCTCCTTATTTGTACAAAACCTGATTATTAAAGGTCTCAGTTCTTTACTGGAGCTTCTGTCCTACAGTAACAATATTACTAATTGCCATAATTCAATCAGGGAATGGAAATAATTACGTGACTAGGTCATATAAGGGACTTTAGCAGTAGAAGAAGAGTATCGGCAGACTTAAGGCATGTTCATCCAA